AAAGCGTTTGCGGTTGGGAGCGGCTGTTGCGGTTGTTTTCCGACACCCCCGCTGCTCGTTCAAAATACAACAGCAGCAACAGGAAGCTATACCCTAGAATATGCAGTCGAGAATTGCCGGAAAATCATATAAGAACAGATAATTGTTAAATAACCAATTTTTTATTATACAATTTCAGGAATTTAATCGTTTATGGTTATACAAATTGTTATACAAATATTTAACCCATTAATTCTTCCTTTTGCATAACTTTGTTCTGTATATTAACATATTTTTTTCGGCTTACACCCTCATATATTTTCTAATATTCTGTATTCTATGTGGGATACAAAATAATCAAAAAATTTGAACGTATTAAACGTATCAACGTATTAACAAAGGGAACTAGTACAATGTACGAAATGCACACTCGTTGTCTAGATATAGTTTTCCTCGCTGCAGTGCGATCGATGTTCCAAGTTTCTAACGAGCCATTGAAACTTTTAAGGGGAAAACCAAAAGATAAATCCTTCGAGTGGGGAGGGGAATAAACAAGAGTCGGACAAATAAGCAAATCAAAATGATGCCAACTAGTGGCACGAAATCAAATTGAAATTGAAACTAGACAAAGTGAATTGGCAGGGAGCCACACTTGCCATTGTGCAGTCATGGGGTTCGGGATGTAGGAAGGGTAGGGACTCGATGTGTTATACAATATTATCATGCTTATATAATTTGCCCGGACACACACATACACACATACATAGAGATGTAGAGACAAACACATGCGAAACTGCGATAAAGCTCGAGTAACAAAGTTGAATGGCTGTCTACATCGCAGGACGATTTTCGGGGAAAGGGAATTCCGGCGTATCAAAAGTTATTGTGCTTGTATCTCTGTGTGTGTGTGTGAGTGTTCAACTGGAGCCAGGGATTATCAAAGTATTAGAGGAGCAGCGCTCCAGACCGAGATTCAGACTCGGTTTTAGCTCCTGCGACAGCTCCATCTTGAGCTTTGACTGCTCCTAAGTTTTCGCACTTTATGGGACATCTTTGTCGCTGTCCTGCTTGCCAAATGCCTCGGGGGCTCATGTGGCAGGCTCTACTCGTCATAAAACCCCGCACCAACACACTGAGAAAGTATAACAAACTTAGTCAGTTAAAATATAAGAAGTTATATAATTTAAAGCAATTTTAAAAGTTATTGATATTACTTCTGACAAAAAGCGTAATGACATAAGTTTTTTCTAATTTATTTTATTCCATATATTTTTTGATTTTTTTTTTTTTTTTAATTTTAAGTAGCTTTTTCCTCTGAGTGCAGGCTCCACAGCCAGTGGAAATCGCAGAAAACGGAAGCTGGGCCAACGCACATGCATAAGTGAAAGACAAAAGACGCCAAAAGACAAAGGCACTGGCTAACAAGAAAAAAACATGAGATGGGGGCCAAAGGAAATAGGAACTAACAGGGCGGGAGGGCCAAAGTTAAAGGACCAGGAATTGCAACTTGCTGCGACATGTAAGAATTATTATCTGCTCTTGCACTTTCAAGTGGCCCCCAAAGAAAAAGAGAGAGGGAGACAATGAATAATGTCCTTGGCGCGCAATGCGGAAATGCAGGCAGCAAGGATCCAAAAGGATTCAGCAGTAGGTAAATAAAATAGAGCCATAAAGGAAATATGCTTTCACAAACATTTCAATCGACATAAAATTTTATAAGCGCCGTTTTATTTTCACTCAGCAAACAAAGTAACAAACACACATAGGGAATATATAAAATAAACTAACAACTTTTTCTAGCCTCAGGAATTTTCCACATTTTTGGCAACAAAAATTTCATAAATGTCTATGACGGATTGAATTTTTGCAGTATGCGGTTGCGGGGTTTGTTTATTATTTGTACAACTCTCTTCTATTTTGAAAATTGTTTGCTGCTTTAAATATGTTTTACGCGCTTTCCCGTCTCCGCCACATATTTGGCCCTTGGCCAAATTACTCGGTGCTAGCAAACGGGGCGTATGCGTAATGTGCTGGTTTTCTGACTTCGCTTTGAAGTGGTCCACGTGAGCATAACAAACAATGTGCCATCGGGCATTTTTCAGTATTTGCGAATTGACTGCTCTCTTTGTGGAGTTTTGTTTCCGTGTTTCCGTGTTTTTGTATTTTGTATTCATTATTTAATGGTGGCCAATTAAAATTTAATCAGTTGGCTAATTGAATTTAGTATAATGTGGGTCAGTCTGGGTTTTTGCGGTCGGGATTTATAATGGAGCTAATATTTTCGATAGCTGAGATTCGGAATTTTAAAATAGAGTTTTGATTGTATTTTGGATGTTTGGATAGTTTTTTCTTCCTGGAAATTAAATAAGTATTTTCTTAATATTCTATTCTATGTTAAATTATGTTCACAAAATCTTTAACATTTCTTTGTCTACATTCCTTCCGGCAAATCTAATGCTGTAAAGAAGAATATTTTTTAATCAATCATCATATCTGTCCCTCTTTTGATCATAACTTCCCCCTTTTACTTTTCGAAATAAAACCAAAATTATTACCTCGCCACCAAACCAACATTATTCTGGAATCATTTGTATTTATTTTTTTGTATCCGCTATGCAAATGAAGTTGTTCCTTCAAATGTTACAGTTCTATCTTTGTTTTTATTATTTCTGCAATTAAATTTCATTTGTGGAAAGCACCCACATACACACAAATGGAAGTGCCAGAGGGAAAAACAGCAAGAAGCAATTGCTGTGAAAGAAGTTGCCAAAAAAGGGAGAGAATGTCTATCAGGGAAAGCGGAGGGTAAAAACAACAAATAATAACGGCGTTGATTTCATTTCTCATCTGGACCTCCGCCCTTCTGGCCCTTTTATTTTGTCATCCCCTTCCATTGGCCGTCACTTTTTCGGGCTATTTCCTCCTTTTTGGCCGCTTTGTTTGTCTACTTGTTAGCAGCCGCCTTGGCATTAACACGTTAAAAATGCGCCGTCCGCTTTTCCGCCTTTCCCTCTGCTTTTCACTATTTCCGCTTCTTTATAAGTGAGCCATAAAAAACAAAAATCAACGAGCTTTCTGTCGCCCAACTCCTCGTTACTTGTTTGGCCATGTTTACGGAAATCATTAACATTTTCCTCAAGCTGCCAGCGCCGCTCTAATGAATTGGAAGATGAACCCCAGAAAATGACTGAGTAAAAAATAGCAAAATTATAATGCAGCACAAAAGCAATTTACATATTGAAGACTCAAGCTGGAAATGGCCAACGTGAATACATTAAAAGATAGAGTTTAGCATTAATTCCTTAATTAATTTTTTTGAGAGGTACGTAATTTAACCAATATATATAACTTTTTTGCATAGGAGATTTTTAAAAATGAATTCCAACGCATAAAAAATGACAAAACATCGACAAACAGATGGAAAATAAACTAACGATGCAGCTTGTTAAATATTAATACAGAGGTACGCCACTTGTAAACCTGTAAAAATTGAAAAAGTTATAGGTTTAGAAGTGCTGGAATCTGGTCACTTTTCTGCAAGTCCATTTTTTGCAATTCTTGAATGAAGGATATAAAAAATAACAAAACATCGACAAAAAAAATAGAAAATAAAGTAATGATGCAGCTTGTAAGATATTTTAATAACAAATTTATAGAGGAATGTCGCTTGTAAATCGGGGAATAATTGGAAATGTTGTGGTCTTAAAATTTTAAAAATGAACTTAAAGAGAAATTGGTTCCGGTGATTTATTAGGCTTACTTTGAATGTGGGTAATTGACGTACTTTTCCCACGCTTTCCCCAATTTCGAGCTTTTCCCGCACTATGATGGCCTGCTTTTCAAGCCCCATAACGCGACCCCAATGGGGCTTTACCCCCCAGCCACTCGGCACAACTCAACTTAACTTTTCACTTTCAATTTGCCAGGCTCTGCGGCCCATAAAGCGGGGCGTTTATGGCCAACACGCGTGGGCAACCCACCAAAAAAAGCGAAACTTTCATAATTCATAAGCTGCAGGAATAAACTGCCGGCTGAGAAAATCTACTAAGCTCACGGCAGCACTTGGATTTACACTTTATAGGCGGAGATGAGGCATGGGTTTCCGTGAGAAGGCCACAAATCATGTTATAACAACTTAATAAGTTGGGAAACTCTAGTCCAGCCAAAAAAAAATTTGAATATTGGCCCAGAGTAGGGACATGTGTCTAATATTCTATTCCCAATCCATATTTTTTTTCCGGTTTCTACCTCATGACATGCGCATTTTCCTGCTACATCATCAGAACCAAACAAAAAAAAAAAAAAATGGAGAGGAAGATGAGACCACTCCTCGATGCTTTTTATTTGCGCTGGCTTTTTATGACATTTCAAGGGAAAATTTATATAATAATCATAAAAGCGGGAGAGCATGACCGTTGCGGAAATGCTGCGATTTATTTGTATTTGCAGAGTCTTTTCCGCTCACTATGTTTGTGTTTTATTTGCAGCCAATTGATTTGACTGGCGGCTGGCAACTGGTAAGAGCGATGATGGGTACGATATTCCCGGGGAGTGGGAGTGCGTTTCCTTTTTTCGCCGCTCCCGGGGATTGTTTTTGGCGATGGCGAACATAAAAGTGTAACATCATATGGCCGGAGCACTCCTCTTTCGGTGCACGAAGCCATCATTGTTGCCACTGCGGCTCACTTTATGTGGCATGAATGCTTTTATGACCGCCCACACATATCGAGCAAGGAAAAGCGGGAAAAGCTTGTACGGCCGTTTCACTGGGCATCAAATCAGGAAATTGTTGCAATTAAAGTGTAAATAATGATGCAGCTAACAATGAATTACGAGTGAGTGGGAAAGAGTGGAAACGAAGTTTTTTTTTTAACTTATTTAAGCCGATTACGTCAGCAACTAATGATATAAGCAAAAATTATATTTGCTCTTTAATAATTTTTGTGGGCTTAACCTTTAACATTAACTTACCTCTAAAAATGTCATTAATATATACGAACCAAGTAGGTCGAGTCGTAATATTCATGAACCATATTATATTTTTACTAAGAATATTTCAGTTTACCCTAAAAACTCCACAAGGAAACATCAAACTTTCCATTTTGTTTTACTTTTACAAAATACAACCAAAATGTTGTGAGTATCAGGCTAAATTGTTTCTTGCAATTATTTGACCAATCCTTTGTCAGTGAATCTTTCGATTGGAATGCGGGACTCGATTTAAAGAAGTATCGTGATGTAAAGCAACGCGTTTCTAGAAAAATCGGCGACTTAGAGCGCAAAGGAATTCAGTGGGGTCGTCGCATTGGCATTGAAGACGGCAAGGATGATGCTTTCTTTCGGTTTATGAGGGAGAACGCCTGAGCTCATCTACTAAATTCGAATTATGTGTATACGGAATACATAATTTCAGTTAATTTAAGTCCAGAACAAGAAAATACTCGTTTAATAAACAAAATGAATTGCCTTTTGAACATGTTCTTTTTTCTTTTGACACTCTGCTCAATTATTCGCTTAGCCTTTTATGATGCTTTTGCCTGAACAACGATTCAACCGCAAAAATGAAAAAGTCAAAAGTGAATGAAAAAAATAACCGAAAATTTTCCACAGGCTCAGCCAAGCTGAAACATATGGCACTTTTCATATGGCACAGGGAAAACTCAAAAGTGAGATTGGTGGCGTGCAAAAAGTTTCGGAAAAATTGCAGAAAAATGACATTAATTTTAATACAGCACAACAGGACGGAAAAAAAATCCATCAAATTTGTCCAGTTTTCCCACTCGTTTTTTTAATTAAAAATTGTTTGTGGCGCGCATTTTGCATTTTTGAAAAGTGGACAGAGGATGTATAGCCGTGAATTTTTATTGAGGATTTCCTTTTATTGGGGACGAAAAGAATCCTTTACCTTTCCCCGCCGCACCGCCTGTCACTTGAACTGTCAATTACATTTGTGAACCGCTCGTCCTCGAGTTTTCCACATCAAACTCATTTTCCTGTGCATGCATGCGAAATTTTCTTCGGTTCTCTTATATTCGTTTTCATCTTTTTCGGATTTCCCGCCCATATTGTACTTATATTTCTCAGTAGCGGCATTTGATTAACATTTAAATTTGCTTTTGGCGTATGTGCAACTGACAGTTGAGTCTGGCTTGGGATGCGGTATGTTTTCTTTCCGCTCCCACTCGAATTTCCCTTGGTCCGTGGATCGAGTATCGAGTGCAAATTGTGTGCTTATGACACACAATAATCAATTGTTTTAGCCTCACTTATCGAGTGCCAATAGAATCCTAGCCGGGTCCTGCTATGGACATTCGATTCGGTTCGAGTCAAGTCCGGTTATTGATGATAGCTCTGGAAATCGGACGACACTCCAGCATCCAGCATTTATTTGTATTATTCGCTGGGGCAAATTGTTTATTGTTTATTGATATGAAATATTATTCTCGGCTGCCTAGAAAATTTGCATGCGTTGATTGCTAAAATGAAGAGTACTCTGCAAAGCAAAACAAAATACTGCTGTTCGTTTGGCATTTGAAATGATTTAAGTTGATTAAGAAAATGATGAAAAGAGCATATGATTTTATCCGAAAAACTCTTAAATTCTGATTTAAAGTATAAATTAAATGAAAAATGTTTGAAATGCGCTATATTTTAAATAATAAAGTTATTTAAGATCTTTACTTAAGAGCAGCCAAAGTTTTATCTGTAATCAAAAACCATACTTTATATTCCACTCTAAAAAACATTTCTCTTTAAGAACATACTTCAAGAAATGCAAAATCTGCGTCTTGCGAGTGTATGGGACTCAGCCAAAGTAGATCCTGGCCAGAATGGTGGCAGGACTTAAGTACGTGTTGATTATGGAGCGTGTTTGTTATTATTATTGTTGCAGCAACATCTTCCTCTCCGCTGTTGTGGTTAATGGCAGTGCGGATGTGGATGAGGGGGGAAAACTTCTACACCATTTACCATATTCCACGACTAGCAGCGAACGTAGTTTTTTATGCAAATATTTAAGAGCATCATCGAAGGCACGGCGAGTGCAAGATTCTTTCCACTCAACGGGGTGTCTGTGTCTGTATGCGTGCGTGTGTGTGTGTGTTTTTGCGTGTGCAATAATGCCCTTTGTATGTGTGAAAGTGTGGGTGCTTGGAGAAGGGGTTTTCCCCCTGGTAAGCCAAATGTAGATATATGTTTATGTCTGTGCACTACACTCGACGATAAAATCGTCATGTAGTCGTAATGTCTGCATCAAATTGCATTTGCCCAACGCCTCAGCCACGTCGCTAACTCTCAGCCCCGCCCATTTTTCGCATCCGCCTCCATTTCGCACTCCTTTTACCGTACTTTTTTCTAGAGACAGGATATGGGGCTTCCATATGTGTCGACATCGTCAACGCAATGTGTATTTATGCATAGTTTAATGCGGTTCAATGTCTGGTAACGACATCAAAACACATCCAGAAGGGAAGGGATTCCGGGGGGAGTTATCCACCCACTCTGCTCCCTGGAGTCATAATCATAATCAGGAATCATAGTCAGTCGCAGGGTACAAAAAAAAAAAAAAAAAAACGAGAGGAAACTGCATCTGAGCTGAATAGATATTTTTATTATTTTCAAATTGAATTCGCATATCGTTACTAACGTCAAAGATCAAGGGAAATCGGGGAGCGCATTGAAACTGCGCTCGAACGCACGTTAACCAAATCGGATTTGTTTAATATATGATCCGGAATTCGAATTTGATTGCTAAGTGCATTTCATGTGCGTATCGATGGTTTGGCGATGTTATGACGGGATTTAAGTGGGGGGATTAAATGACAAAATAAGGGAAATCCTAAACGGACACGATTATGCGGATTTCATGGATTTTAAGGGATTACATATGAGAGTGGATAGTGCAAATTGGGTAGGGCAAAGTAAATGGAATGGGCTTAAAATTTGGATCAACAAATTAATTTATTAAGCTTCAGTTAATAACAAAAACTCAAGACTAAGCAAATCCTAAAGAACTTTCCCCAAATTTCTTCCTAAGATAAGACAAAAGAAATATGAGCCTGGCAGCCTTCTTTGCAAACTATTTTAAGTTCATCCTGGACTCGACCTTGGCTTTTTCGAGGACCAAACAAGACGCCCCATTCGTGTCATTTGCTCGTCTGGAGGCATTTTATCATTCTGCTGATTTGAAGTACCAGCAGAGATGTATTTCACTCAGTGTCCTGTATCTTGTTTCTGCGTAGCCTCGTGTCCTTCGCCACTCGACGATTTGAAGATGCAAAAATGTCCATTTAACCGAGATTTATGGCAGCCAGCAGGGTTATTTATGGCAATTTGTTTTATTTACACGATATCTGCCAGTGGCCAGATGGAAAGCCACCTCCATTCCCTGGCACTAAGCACTCGCAAATAAATTTGCACAAATTATTATGGGTCATGGGGATTAAATGCAAACACGGCCTGGTGAAAAAAGCGCCGAGTTGTGCCTATAGCCACGGTTAAATGGATGAAATTCGATGGGAAAATAGCTTGGAAGGGTGGAAATTCAGTGGGAAATGCCGCCGGCGGGTCAGTTTATCGCATTTATTGGCGCTCTATATTTTATACATAAATTCTGAGCCACGCTTCGGTGTTGCAGGTGCATCAGCTGCACACAAAAACAAACGGGCAAACACCCAGACAAACAGAGAAATGGAACCAAATGCAAATAGCTTAATACACATTTTTTGGCATGGCCAAAACAAGCTTTTCCCTCTCTTATTTTATCCTCACCTATATATACACATATATCTGCGTGTATATAGATGGAAAATAGAGAGCGCCGGCAGCATAATGAATGCCACATAAATCCACTGGCTCCGTGCTCTAGATTTCATGGCTATGATTTTGTAATAAAAATGCATTTTTATTACGAAAATAAATTGCATTCCTTTCGCTGCCTTTTCTTTGTTTATCATTTTTTGCGCTCTTTTGTCAGATTGTTTGGATAGTTGAAGTGGGTGAGATAAATCCCTCAAATCTTTATTTAAATTTTCACGCAAAAATTATTTAACAAATTGTGAAAAGAACGAATGGCGGATGGAAAACGGCGTCGAACCGCCAAATATTAATTAGTTAATTAAGGTTCAATGGCCCAGAAATGTGGCAAACTGGAAACGATTTCTTATTTAGCTGATTGCCCCTGGGTTAATGTCCCGTGTACGTAATGGGAATTAATTTTGGGTACCAGGCAACTGTAATAAAGATCTAAAGAAAGGATACCTTTAACGAAAGATAGATACATTTTTTTGAACTTGACTAATTAGAAGTCTTTAATAATGTTCTGAAAAGGGAAATATAAAAGGAACTTAAATGTTCCAAAAATGTATTTATTTATTTACGCTTTTGAAAAGTTTAGCTTGCCATCCTCGCCCGTTCCAAACCATTTAAATTGATTTAGTGTAAGCCTCAAAATATATTGCGTATACGCGATGTGAGCCGCTTAGCAGGCAAAACTGTTGCATGTTAAACGGGTTTTCGTGTCGTAAAAACCGCAAAAGCCAAGCAGCAACAAAAAACAGACAACAAATGGCAATGCAAATCCAAAATGGCGTCAACTACAAGAAGAGCAGCGAACAACAACAATGTCAATCCCTTTTTAAAAACTTTTATTGTGCAGTCGAGCGTAAACAAAAATGCCCCTAAAATATGTACAAATACAAGGACGAGACACCCACACAGACAAACAATATGGCGTGGAAAACTAATATGCTTTAATGGCTTAGGACTTTCAGGACTTTGAATGGCTGCCATCACAATGTTATCCTTTTCTTCAGCCTGTATGTCTCGTGGCTTTTTGCGTAAACAAGTCAGGGGGATAAAAAGCCAAGCGAAACACTTCTACACTGTGAAAAAACATGCTTTTAATATTTAATATGATAGTTAAATATGATAAGATACTTAGATTAAATTAAAGTAAAAATAAATGTTATATCGAGATGAATTTTATATGAGAAATAATACAAATCTAAACCATATAAATAATATCTATTTTTAATCTGAATAATCTAAAGCCTAATGCAAATTGTTCGGTAAATTTATTTTTATAAAAAAAAGTTTAGAGTTTAAACCTTTTTTTTTACCATGTTAAAAGTGTTTCCGCTCTTTTTAGCGCTTCTGCGATTCTGTTGGTGACTGCTGCATATGTTTGGCTTGGCTTGCGTCTGCTTAATGCGCAAAATATTGCGATGATCAATAACAATCGCCTGTCCCCTGCAGCTCTAAGCTAAGGACCCGTTCCCGTTCCCGTTCCGACCATGGAAATCCCCCTTTAACTCCCTTTTGCCATTTGTTGTTATCATGTTTGGCGTCATTATTGTTGTAATTTATTTACGCTCTGCACATTTTTCGCTTACGCCTTTGCTCAGTTTTTGCCTTTTGTCCGTTTGTATTATGTGTGTGGGACTTTTATCAGTTGCGACAAATGTGGCAAGCTGGA